AACTTGTTGGTGATCTAGTGAAACAAAGAATAGGAGAGCCCATGTGTGTCAACAATGAAGGCCGGAGCGACTGAGTAGGAAGGGTGTGGCATGCGCAGACAAGCTGAACACATCGTGTGATATGCCAGCGTAAGCCTAGTTTACATTATCAAGGCCTACCATGCCTCTCAGTCACTTCTCTGAAGCGGGGATGGAGAGGTCATAGCAATGTGATGGATGGAGCGAATGTGTGATGTACGCAAGCAGATAGAATGCACCACAGGGTGTGGTGGGGTGGAGGGAAACACAGCGGGCGAGTTAGTCCAGAGCCCTTCCTTTCTGATCGCCAACGCCGAGCTGTCAGTCCACATCGCTAGATCTAGCACTAGAGAAAGAAACCTGATTCGATTTTTGATCTAGTAAGACCTAAAGGTCACGTGGAAACAAAATCATCATCAGGGGAGATATCAAAAGGAAATAAACTAAACACCAAACTCATAGATTAGGCCTACTTTACAGTTTCCCTTGAATTTATTACTGGATCCCTTATAGCGAGAATCCTGCTATAACGGACATTTTGCTTCGGTCCCCTCCCTCTCGTTATAACAGGATTCCACTGTATTATGATTGTTGCTCCTGCCAAGTACAGTGGTTCAGAAGCCCATGTTACTTTGAACTTCAGTTGTGAAATGAAAACAACGGAATCTTGTTGTTGACTGAGAATATTGCTGGTCTGGTAATTGGTAATAATAATATGGCATGGTATCGTTGGGAGTTTACTTATGTACTTTGCCTATCTTTAGCAGCCTCTGTTACCTTTTATACTTATGGTGTCGAAGCGAGAAGCAAACATATTTCTCTTAATTGTTATGTGTATGCTTGTATATATTGTTTTTGTTCAATGTTTCTCCTTCTGTTCCAGCAGTTGAAAACATCTCTGTGTTGTTGATATATTATTGTTATTATTCTGCCTTTCCTGCCCTGCTTCTTCGTGTTTGTGTTTTTTAAGTTAATAAAATGTAAGAGTTTTACACCCCCTTTGTCTGTTTGGGTCAACCTGGGCTGAGAGAGATACTACATCACTGTAGAAAGACAAAAATACTATACTGTTCAAAAAAAAAAAAAAAGAGAAAAGAAACGCATAGCCAAATTGACCACCGTGTATAATCGCACAGCACTGAATAACTGTTGATATAAATGAAGGAAAGAAAATACGTTTTGAAATTTTAGTCATTGCTGTTTGTTGATTATCAACAAAATTGAATTGATTTTGAACAATCAATTGGATGCTCCTATCTGTCCGTCCAAGGGCGGCCATTCATACTGGGTGTGGCCTCCTGCTGACTGGAGTACCGCTTGACATCTTCTGGGCATGGAGGTGATGAAACGACGAATGTTGGTGAGTGGTATTGCCCTCCACTCTTCATCCAAGTCGGCAAACAGTTCATCAGGAGTGGCAGGGGTGACAACTCTGTTCCGGAGACATCTGTCCAAAGCATCCTTAATGTGTTCTATGGCGTTCATATTCGGTGAATTTGAAGGCCATGGGAGTGTCTGGACATTGTTTATAGCCAGAAAGTCTCCAGTTACTCTGGCAGTATGCGGCATTGCCCTGTGGAAGATTGTCCCTGGTTGTTTTACCAATGGAAGGGCATGTGGCAGGAGAACGTTGTTGATGTAGGCCTGGGCTGCCAGATTACCTTATACTCTCACCAGGTTGCTCCTCCGAGTGTGGTTGATTGCTCCCCACACCATCACACTGCCACCACCATGCGATAAAGCCAGGGAGATGCATCCAGTTGCGAACCTCACATTTCGATATCGGTAAACTCGACGTCCTTTGTCGTGTCGAAAAATGAGAAAATTGGATTCATCACTGAACCATACGTGCCGCCAGTTCTGTAGCTTCCAGTTGACGCGCTGAGTGGCCCATTGTCGTCGTTGTTGGCGATGCCGGTCCGTCAACAATGTCCTTAAAGGTCGATATGCTCTGAGCCCTCTTCCTCGGAGTCGGTTGCGTGGTCGGAAATTCTGATGACATTCCGAAGGTTTCAATGTAACAACAAGAAATAAATGAGTAATAATGACTAGAATTAGAGTTGTGTTCACTTTGAAGGGGTGGGGGGGGGGGGGGGGGGGGGGGTTGGGCCAATCAAAAAACAAAAAAAGTTGACAAACAGGTCAATTCCGACTGTTATATATAAAAGAAAATAAACTGATTCTTTATTCTTCAGAGCCATCTTAGGGTTCACATTCCAGTCTTTCCAGACTTTCGATTTTTGTTTTAAAAAATTGTTAATGACCGAATGGCGGACAATTCATATACAATGTATTATTTACTAGTGTTAAAGAAGGATGGGGGCAGACCTGCCACTCTATGAAATCAAAAAATTAGGATCTCAAGGGTAAAAAAATCAGGGTCAACGATAAACCACGCGGGTGATTTAAAAATGTTCCACGGTGTCCATAGATATATCTATGGATATATATATATATATATATAATATGCGCCCTACTCTCTCTGTGTGTGTGTGTGTGTGTGTGTTATCATTATTTTTTTTAAATCCTGAAGTATCACGTCAAGGACTCCAGTCTAAGCCGTGCCACCCATAGTCTCGAAACATGCTTCAACCAGTGTGCATGAACTTAAATTGACCCCATCAACAGACGAACGGTCCCACTCACGGCGAAGTCACGTGATGCCAAAGCGCGATTGAAACAGTTTTACTGACGGGTCTTGACGGGCAGGACTAACCAGCATATGGACAAAGCTTGTTTTGAAAAGTAACAGCAGAACTATGATTAATATTAATAATTTGTATGTCGCAATTGAAACATTTATCATGAGAATACTGAGCAGAAACAAAATCAAAAGTAGATCTTGAGAATGTCCCAAGTCGGAATGCCAAATTGATACTACTTCCATTGGGTATAGTGGTGGAAATAACATGTGCGAGCAAAGATCCAACGCAATTTCTGGCGAGTCAACCTCTAAATCTTGCATTCATATTTCGGGAAATAATGCTCCCGAGTTCCTGCTGACAAAAAGTTTTAACGGGTGCTTCCCGCAACAGAAGAAGGCAGGGTAAGTTTTTAGAAAAATCCAGTGCAAGAGACAGCTAAAAAAAATCGGGATACAAGCGATCGAAATGGGGAAATCGGGATGCTTGAGATTTGAGGCAAAAAATCGGGATACAAATCGGGATGAGCAGTCATGTCTTTTGGAGTAGTCTCACGACAGGGGTAAACTCAAGGCACGACACCGGCAAATGCGAATGACCGGAATGTTGACGGAGCTTCTCTGCTGAAGCAAGCCTGTGTTGCAGGAAACTGCGTGCAGCTGATAAGCAGGTCGACTGCTTCTGACAAAAGATGACTGCCGTCCCGTGTATGTGTGTAGGTGTGTTGTCAATTGTCGAATCATTAACTTGGCTTCGAGTGGGGGAATTATGCTTGCCAGACGCACACCACCTATGTTTTAAAAGCGTATGCAAACCCCCGAAATGAAATTTTAAAGAGCAACGTTCACGCACCACCAAAACTTAAAGGGGGGGGGGTATTGGGTAATCTGCTGGTTTAATGCGTAATATATGCACATTTGTGCGTAATGGGGAGCCCTGGCATGGACTTGGAAGCGGATTTGTTAGTAGGACATTGAACGCATCTGCGACACTATATATCATAACAGGACCAAATTAGATGTCTGTTTTTAAAAATTTGGTAACGAAAGATGTGAAGTGTCACGTTTGGCACGAAGGAGGACCATTGTTGTCAATGAATTATCTTCTTGTGTCAGTAACTTTCTAGAGGAGCCTACTGTCACGTTCAGTATATACAGTGGTGGCTGTACTTATCAGACTACAACGCTATCTTGTCAACCAGCGACATTTGTACCAGATAAAACAAAACTGTTGAACACAAATACCTTGAAAAGGAACAAACACAAAAATGGAAGTGGACAGCACACAGTTTAATCGAACGGTCCCTAAAAAATGGTAAAGTCTTATGTGCTCACGGATAATCTTGCACGTTTTTAAGAAAGCAAGATCCCTCGAGTAGAAGAGAACAAGTCACGATATTTCGCCTGCGAACACAACACATACCTCTAAATTCCTACCTTAATAGGATCCGCAAGGATACCCCACCCGACTGCCAGGATGAAACAGTACCACACCACCTCTTTAACTGCCCAGCACTTGGTGACCTGCGTAGCACCTACCTACCTGCCTCCCCAGACATCGGAAACACTCTATACAGCGACAAAGCACAGCTGATTAAAACCTGTCAATTCTTTGCCATATCGACAGACCGAAGGGCTAGAACCCAAATGGCCGCTGGATCGGAAAAGTAAAGTAAGAAAGCAAGACAATAACCCCCCCTCAATGGTTAATTTCTGGACCATTCAGACCTGGTTGAAACAAAAACGACCCTGTTGTCACAAACTTTCGTTGCATTTGACACACACTGAACAAAAATATCCTGTACAAATTGAACGTTAAGATGAATGGTCTTTTTTTACGTACTCCATGATTCCAAAAACAGTCCTGTCCCAGAAGACCCAACAAAATGACTAAAATAAATACTCTTAACTTTATAATTACATTGAAAACTAGTATGATTTGCTTTTTCGGATTACTCAAACGCCCAAGTGACCATTGGCGCGCGTCGAGTGGCATCGGTTAACGTGATTCAAACGCCAAGGCGCTGTCATACTGTCACTTAAGCGGTTGAATCATGCAGATTTTGGTAGGTCTAAACCGGCTCTGTCCAGTAACTTGTGTAAGAAAGCTTTTTTTCCCCAAAAATAGTTACAGACCATTGTCCTACATTATGTCATATCATAGATCTGAATTTCAGATTCATAGGTACGACCATAAAGAAATAAAAGTTTTTTTCTTCTCCTAAATAATTTGTCTCTTGACACTAAGGAGGTTGAAACATACGGCCATCGTTTTTGTTAGAAAGAAATTTTGAGTCCGTAATACTTAAAAGTTTATTTATTTATTTTGTTGTTGTTGCAGGAACATCTTTGGATACTGCACAGAAGTACCATGTTCCAACTGTTGGAGTGGGGTCCAGAAGTCAGAGAGAAAGTTGGTTTTCCAAATATAAATCAACCAGTTTCTCTGGTAATTCCCATAGTTGTTTGGCTTTTTTTTGTCTTGGGCCAAGAATATCTGAAAATTTTTTTAAAAAAATGACAACTTCATATGATGTATTCTCGGAGACCTACTGATAGTTCATGTTGAAACATTTCTAAGGAACCTCTGATGAAGTTGTTTTACCTAAATTTTTGTTTCTTATATTATTATATATCAAATTTAGGATGGGTGTGGGCGCCAAGATTTTAAATAAAATATATGGAAGTACAAACTGGGAACCAAACTCTGTGGAGGATAGTGCGTGATGTTTGAGGCAGAAAATGTGTGTGAAAATGCGATTCTGGTCACAAGATCTTCCTACTTGAACTAAACCGCCCATGAATGTATCTTTGGATTGGGGATTATAGCGTCGCCCATCTCACAAAAGTATCGTCAAAATTACCGGTTTTGGGTTAACACCACCATGGTGTGTCTGGTAGTGAGATCTATCTTCTCTCAAAACGGCGTATTGATAGCTTTAAAAATGGCGGAGTTATGAGCAAAAATCATTTAGCCCTATAGCTCTCGGACAGGAAACTGCATCTCACATAGAGGCGTATGCCTTCTTACGCCCCTCTGTGAGAATATATACGGAGGCATGTGACCGCATACGAGGCATGTGACCGCATACGCCATGGTATGAGATGTTTCCTTGTGTTTTCTCACTTGTAAATGAGGGGGATGCATCTCATTTCATGTTTAGTAGTCTTGCGATTCTTTCTCACTGCATCACTGAGGGACTTTTATGCGCTTCCTTATCATTAGTTCAAGTTGACAGTGTTGTTTTTGGTACCTGTGCTTCAAATTTCATCTTTGCTTTCAGCGTTTGATGTTCATGTACCCATAAAGTGATAGTACCGTAGCTCATTTGTAAGCTTCTAAACATTCACTTTTTAAAATATTTTCTACAAGTAAAAGTTTTAATTAGGTCCATGAGTCCCCAAAGATGTGGTATTGCAGAAAGTTCTGATTATATTGACGATTTAGATGCTGACCCGTCTTTCCAACCTGGTTTCTGTGTCATATAAGGACATATTTGCAGCTTGTGGAAGGTGTGTATTGCTCCTGTGCTATACATAGTCACTTTGTGGAAGAAACAGGTTCATGGTAGTCTTTAAAAAAAGCCACATAGCATCATGAGTAGAATACGGATAAAACCAGAAGAGAATAACTCGGTCGTCGTTGGATGTTGTACTCAACCTGAAAATTTCATGACAGAAGGTGCTGTCAAAGAAGTGACTGCTCAGAAAGGTCCACAGTCCAATAAGTATAAAGAAGCTAACCACAAAGGACATTTTGGAGAGGAGTTCCTTAGCCCTATAACGGCAACACATTTCGTCGCCCACAGGATTTGAGACTGGTATGAATTTGAAAGCTATAAGAAATATGGTCGAAGCTATCACACTATTGCGAATGAAACACACGAGGAAATGTTCCAGCAATATTACAGACTTGAAGACCATTATCTATAACGTGAGTTTGTTGTTGGTCACAAGGACTGCTCTGAATCTATGAAAGGGACGAGCTGTTCTCTCGGACAGAAGACCAATACATATTACTTGACTGTCGATGAGTACTGCCATCTGTAAGACAATATCAGCTGAAACTATTGAAGTAGAAAAAAGAGGATGATGATGCCCAGCAACTGTCAAAGAAAGAGATGAAAAACTTCCCACCCTTATTAATGCTCATATTGCGAGGTTCCCCGCTGTTGACTCACATCACTGCTGTAGGTCAGTTTCGAGTTAAAAGGACTAGCTCTCAAACCTGAACTGAAGAGGAGACAAAACAAAGGCAGAACAATCGCATCCACGGAAAAGCCACAGTGAGAAAACTTAAAGAAGATGCTTTCAGCTGCAATACAATCACAAACTGAAGTGATATTATGGAACAGACTCAACAGAGACTATTCAATAACTGTTTATTTCCTACAAACCCACAGTACCAAACAGTGATCTTTAAGCCCCAGAAAAATCAAGTCAAAGACGTTCCATTGACCAGCCTAAAAAATTCCCTATAGCCAAGTATACTTTTCATCAGACCGGAGGAACACACAATCTTCTAACTCTGCCACATCTATCTTATGACAGGTTACCACTTGCACTGTGTTTTCGCGTTGAAGTGCCTTTCCAGATCATTTTAATCTTTCTTTTAACAAACTTTATTTCATTATATTTCATTGATAAACAAAGTGTTATGGGATAAAACGTTTATAAGGTATTACACATGCTCAGAATTTATCTTTCTACTAATATTGTTGTTGTCTAAGGATGGCGCGGTCCTGAATGAAAGGATCTGTGCAGTACTAGTAATTTTATACTCATTGTAGTGAAAATTCTTATAATACCTTGAAGACAAGTAAGAAAGCTTAAAACTCTTTAAGTTATTTACATTTCCTATAGTCACATAGTGGAGACCCCAAAACTGTTTCATTTTCTTTTTCTTGTCGTTTTTCACTCCCCAAAATAGATCACTTTGGCATATTGAGTTGATAAACCTGTTCTATAATCAAGAAAAAAATCCCTTTTCTCTTATATTCTATTACCAAACGATGTGATGTGGCGTATTGTCAATCTTGTGTCTTTACGGACATAATTATGTTCTCACAAACAGGCGTATAAGCTATTTTAGACCATTTCTTTAAAAAACTGATTACGCAATACCTATAACCATTATAGGGAATGATAAATCGGTGGTTGTACTATCTTGCCAAAAATTTAAACGGAAAAAGCAAACGGTTACGCCACAGCAAGAACTTAAAAAGTGTCCAAAACTTTAAAACGCTCTCCTGAAAAATGCCAAAAATGCACTTACACGCCCTTTTGTGAGATGGACGACGATAGTTGATTTGGCAATTTAAGAGTGGCAGATTTTCAGCATCAGTGCATTCTGCACTCATTACTCAAATATTTTTAATTTTCCGACTACTTTGAGTCCCTTTTTGTGAACTAAGTTTCCTGCAATAAGTTTTATCCTGCACATTTTTATAATCTGATTCATGAGATCCGGACTGGTTATTATCAATTGATATTTTGGAGCTGGATTTTTCACAGGTTCAAAGCATGGGAAAATGAGAATTAAGAACAGACTGAAATAACAAATTCACACCAATCCAGTGCCCCATGGACATGTGTTGTGTGTGTGTGCATTTTAACAAAGAAATCAATGCAATGTATTGTATGTTTTGTGAATAAAGTTTGGCAGTTGCTTACAGTGTAATGTCTTTATTTTTATGGAGTGGAATTTGATGTTAGTCACCAGTCACCCTGCGCTCAAATCCTCATTCAGTACTGAGTTATAGGTGCCTTGAATGAGTCCATAAATGTTTGGTTAAAAAAAAAAATCTGTCTTAGTCATCAACATTGCTCACCTTAATACATACACACAAACATGCAACATAATCACACACATACATCGTTTGCAAGCTGTTAAAATGTACTAAACCCAGAACATTTTTTACAGGACAGAGAATATGTTTCGTTCTATTTATAATTGTACCTATATATATAATGTATTTTGCCTTGCTCTTACCATGTGGTATTTGAATTTTGACAATATTTCCTGAGCACATGCAACTGATACTCCAGAATAAGAAACTGATTTCTAAAGAATTAAACATTTTGGGCTTAGTACTTCTGAACTGCTGGCAGACGGTAGACATTATTAGCAAGCCCTGCTTGATTGTAACCACCTAAAGGGGTAAATTTTTTTGTTTTTTAAAATAATTTTTTCCCCGTTTTGTTCTGTGTCATTGTACTACATGTACCTGGTTTTCCCCCCAAAAAAACTCCTGAAACCGACCCTGAATCTACCTGAAAGGGAAAATTTGAGATGGGTCGCATTGTTGAAGACAGTTTTTGTCAATAAAATTACTTTTTATTTTCGCTATTAAGATTTTAAAATGTTTGACGTACTCCATTAAAATTTTTCCTTGTTTCCTGGTCCATTTTTATTCAGCTTCTTCAAGTAGTCATCCATCAGGCTGTGTGACTGCTAAGGAATCAACGCACCTTAGAATGTCTGACTCATATTCTACGGAAGATAACAAAGAGGTGGAAGCCACCCCTATAAAACCGATCATGGTTTCCACTGGAAGCTTCACCAAATCTTCTGCTGTGCCTGGTTTGTACTTTTTTGTTCTCAGCCTCGAGCATTATATCTTTTTACCCTGCCTTGAAATTACTGGGTTTAATGGTATACATTTGTCATTCAATTGATAATCACTAAAGTGCATGAAAAGTCCACCATCCTAATGTTTGATCTCTTAAAAGGGGGTGTAATTTTCCTGTGGGGATTAAAAATTTTTGATCCATTGAGGAAGTAGTAACTGGTATCTTGTTAAAATTTGCCCAAAAATTTAGAACTGGATTTGTTGGATTTTGTCAACTTTTGTAGACGTAAAATGCTTTTTACCTTTTGAAAACCGATCCATAAATATTTTAAAAAGTTATTGGCTGTGTACATGTCGGAAATTGTGGGTATTTGGAGAAAATTCCTCAAGAGCAAGGCAAGAAAGGACGAATGGAACTTGAACCTTGAAAACCTACATTATACTAGATAACTTTCACATTTGTGAGGTGTGCTGACAAAATAAGTTACTTCTCGCCATCCACAAATGGAGATATTGGCCAAAATTCGACATTAGGGTTACACATGTAGAATTTCTATTGATGCCATATTCTTTAAGTGTAACATGCCTTTTATTATCCTGCATATTTTTATAATCATTTATATTTATAAATGTAAAAACTTCACCCAAAAGTTACGTGTCCATTTTCATAGGACTAGAATCCTAGAAGTTACTCATTTTGTCAGCATGCTTCTCATTTATGAATAGAACAAGCTGAAAATTGGTGAGTTTATGTTTTTAGGGGCTACGAAATAGAAAATGGTAGATTTAAAGTTGTAATCTCAATGACAGAGCTTCCCATCATTACGAAGTAGGTGGAATCATTACGACTTTTATGAAATTTTAAGAAAATGCGATCATAATTCCCCTGGTTCTGATTTTGTTTTAATTTTGACTAGCCCAACCAAATGCCAGCCTTCCTGGTGTATTAGTAACAGGGTGTCTAGCAAAGTCATAAAGTTGTAAAAAAGTCGCCCAGGTCGTAAATGGTAGTAAATGCCCCTTGAAGGTAGTAAACATTTGGTAAACAGTCGTAAATTCAACCTGCCTACTGAGTGATGAAGTCAGCAAGACTTCATTGAACCCTAGCCGCGGTACATGACTCCTTTTTTGCCGGTCGCGATTGTGATATAATATTTTTCGTTCACCTTTTCCCCGTCCGAGAGTACGTTTCACGCGAAAAAGCGGCAGACGAAGAAAAGAAAGTACAAGCGTCGTCTGATTTTTAGATGTCGGGTTCGTCATCGTGACCGGTCAGTGAACCTGTGCGCGTGAGCACGGCGTATGTTGTTGGGGTCGCCACAGTTCGTTCGTTCATTCAAAGTCTGAGCGTTGCGAAGTATAGGCCTAGGACTACGGAATGGGATAGGGGATTATTGTTTTTTTTTAAAGATGCATTCGGGGGAAGGGGGCGGGGTGAAGGCAACACCGGAGGACAAAAACTTTGGATGAGTGATGGTAAATTATAACAATATTGTAGCTTTCTGTTCAAGGCTGGTAGATTTTCAGTGTCACTGCATCTTGCCCTCCCACAGTTCTTACAACTGTCTCACCTCATGGGTCTACAAGAGGCATTCAATTTTTTGAGTTTGAGCTATAATTTTTGTTTTTCATGGTCATAATATTATGAGTCATGACACCTAGATTGGTTCTTGACAGTCGAAATTCTTGTTCAAGGGCCTTCCGAACGCTCAAAGCAGGATTCATTTTTGAATACAGTCGAACCTGCCCTGCCGGCCACCTCTATAAGACGGCCACCTGTACAAACGGCCACTTTCCATTTCCCCCCTTGCGTTTTTTCTATATTATATAATTTAACGGTGTATAACGGGCACCTGTCCAACGCGGCCGTGGCCACCATATTTTAACACAACCCGTATCACACTAAGCAATGACCCCTGTCTTAGACGGCCACTTTAGTGACTCCATTACATTTTAACCGTTTTGTCATTAATTTTGCATTGACCTCTGGCGTTGTGAGCGAGCCTTCATAATCCAATCACCTCTTTGTTGTTAAGTAGTCCCTCCAACCGATCATGTTGCGTAGGCCCCTCCCACTGTTGACCAATGGGTACCAATTTTCAGCTGCAGGTGAGGTAAGCGTGTGATCCCTCATAACCAATAAGCCCCACCCAGAACTCATACACAAATCTTAAGTGAGATGAGTGGTCACTGTTTACCCAGTCTGTAACAAAGTAACAATGGACGCCAACATGGACTTGTGACAGGAGAACCCCCAGTGGGTCGGGGGGGATATAAATAGACCCACTGCTCCGCCAGCAGGAGGTGCAACCCCTTCACTGGCGATTTGTCGCCCATGGACATCTACGCTCAGGTGCACATGGGCGACACTTGCTTTGGTGTATCGTCTGTCTTCTATCGTCTTTCTTCCTTCTTCTTTCGACCTTCCCCGAGCTGAGCGGGGAATAAAATAAAAATAGTTGGCTGTCCCATCAACAGGGGGTGTAATCCCCCGCTGGTGGGATGCCACTCGTATGTCACTAGCTCTCCGACGTAGGGGTGGCATCTTTTGTCCATCTATCTTTCTTTCCGTTCTGTCGACCGAAGGTCCGGTCCAGCAAAGAATAGACACCAAACCCCCGCAACGCGAGGCACCCCGTTGACCGTGGGGTGCGACCCGTATGACCGGAGAAGGGGATCCTGGTGGCTGAGGTGTGGCTTTCCTCACCAACGCGCCACTTTGGCCCTGGATTCGGTCTAGACCGGCGGGTGCAGTGGCCTACTGCACTCAATCGGTTGCAACCGGTTCATAGAACCGGTTTTGGCCAATCTTGGTTAGAAGGCAAGATTTCTTGCCGTCTGATTGGGAGTATACCTCCAGGGTAGCCCTGACACCAGCTATGGACTTCCGAGCGGTGTCCCCTTGTTGGACTCGGTGGCGGGTGGGGAGCCCTGGAGATGAAATAAAAGACCAAATGCACATGGATTCAACCAAAAACATTTCTCCCACCCCAATTCCCAACAAGTCCCAGACAGGAGAAGCAGGTGCAACTCCTGGCCTGGGCAAAAGAAAGAAGGGCCTTTCGGGCGAAGATGCTGACAATGTCAGCATCTGGGACATACCCAAGAGAACATCGTTGGGGTGGTCACCATTTTTGGTGATCTCCCCCAAAAGATGAAAAACAAGACACAAATCTGACTACATTAAGCGTCTTCAAAATTCACAAATCACTCAAACATTTAGGTATTTACAAGCCAAAATACATAAAAAATCTAGGATCCACGGACCTCCTGATACAAGTCAGTTCCAGCATTGAATCAGGCAAACTGTTGGCCTGCACCTCGTTTGGTGGCATCCCTGTATGTGTTCAGCCTCACAGGAGTCTGAACACATCCAAGGGTGTCATCAAAAGCCGAGAGCTCTACGGCTGTACCGAAGAAGAAATGGTTCAGGAGGTCGATGGAATTGTCCATGCTCGTCGTATCAAAATACGGCGGGATGGCAAGGAAATCTGTACCAACACGTGGATCCTTACCTTCAACACACCCACACCACCAACAAAATTAGACATCGCATACTTAGAACTCGAAGTTAGACCATATATACCGAAACCGATGCGCTGTTTCAACTTTCAGCGCTTCGGACACACACAGCTACGCTGTCGTCGTGGCGCAGCGTGTCCTCGCTGCGGCAAGGAGGGACACTCTGGGGAGACCTGCTCTGCAGATCCCTGGTGTCCAAATTGTCGACAGGGGGGTCACTCTGCATCTTCGACGGAGTGTCCGAAGTGGTGTCAGGAGAAAGCCATCCTCACACATAGGGCCCAGTACGGCGGAACGTTCGCTCAAGCAAGAGCAACGCTATACCCAAAAGGATCGACGCCGAAGAATACAACCCTAACATATTCAGAAGTCCTGAAGACTGTCCCAGGGTCAGTAAACCCAACCCGAAAGGTCCTTCAGACAAATAGAAAGCAGAACACCTGCAAAAATCAACACTCCAGTCTGGAGACGGAGGAGGACATAGAGTCCACTTCCTCCACTCCTATCTCTCCCTCTCTCCATCCGCCATCTCCCCACACCCCCTCTTCATCACCACCCTCTCAGCCATCTTCTTCATCCTCATCCCCTTCATCATCCTCACCCTCATCATTCTCATCATCACCCCCATCATCTTCACCCACAACATCCTCCCCATCATCATCCTCACACAAATCACCACATCCTACACCCTCATTGCTTCAACCTCCATCCCATCATCCTTCATCCAATAAAGCCCCTCCACCCACTCCCCGCACCCGCTCCCCCTCCTCTACCCGCATCCAGGACTCCGGTCCTCCTCCCCCTCCACACTCATCCTTCATCCAATAAAGCCCCTCCACCCACTCCCCGCACCCGCTCCCCCTCCTCTACCCGCATCCAGGACTCCGGTCCTCCTCCCCCTCCACACTCATCCTTCATCCAATAAAGCCCCTCCACCCACTCCCCGCACCCGCTCCCCCTCCTCTACCCGCATCCAGGACTCCGGTCCTCCTCCCCCTCCACACTCTCCCTCAAAAAAGGCTGCGGTCCACCGTGACCGCAGCAAAACAAAACAAAGACAAAGGTCACCAACGACCAAAAAAAAATGTATCGAACCCGTGCCTTCAAAATAAATTAAAATGGCAGTTCTTCAGTGGAACATTCGCGGTTTGCGTGCAAACCAGGCAGAACTCTCTTATCTTTTTACCTCACACACCCCAAATGTAATCAGTCTACAAGAAACTAAATTGCCAACACCCACATTCACATTAAAAAACTATCAAACTTACAACCACATATACACCGACAACCAAATCGCCTCTGGGGGCAACTCCATTTTAATAAATAACCAAACACTACACAGACAAATACAACTAAACACAACACTTCAAGCAGTTGCGGTCAGGGTCACCCTACACCGTCCTATAACTATCTGTTCAATATACATCCCTCCAAATTACCCTCTATCTTTAAGAGAACTAATAAACCTCAGAGACCAGCTCACACAACC